ACAATGAAACCTTAATCCACCACCTCTGCAGAAGGTGGCTACTCCTGTTTAGAGTTTTGTTCTCTGACATATTGGTTTCCTGTGGAAAATCACGGTAGTGATCACTTGACTCAATTGTTTCATGCCTCATTTCTTGTCTTTCCTACTCTTCTTCATAGCTGTAGACAATGTTGGCCCAAGCGTTGAGTGGACTATGGAAACTTCTGTCCCCTTCTAGGCAATGAGAGTGTTAGGAATATTCAAGAGGTGTACACAAGTCTAAGAACAGCTACCAGCTGTCAGGGCAAAGGTCTAGCTAGCTCCTATCCCATCTCCAGCCGTGTCTTTATGGGAAACTTCTCTAGCCTACTGTCCTGCTATCACCAATCACAGTTTGCAAAGTCTCGCTCGCGTCCTGAGGCAGAGATAATGTCTCTGTACTGACTAGACATTTACAGTTGTCTCTCTTTAATTAACTCACACTCACTTTTTTAAACACACAAAATTTTAAACTACAGAGCAAACTGCAAAGAGGAGCTCCAATACCTGCTATATGAAAACCAACTTCTTTTTGTTCACTTTAAACTTGCCATCAGCTAGCTTGATTTGATTCCCCTTAGCTTTTACAACAGAAGAAACAGTGAAAACTAATTTCCTACTGATATCTTCATACCACTGAAAGTTTGACAGATTTTCATCATATCCTCTCCAAAGTCATCGCTTTTCCAAGCACCTTCCCATCTGCAGAGCCTTCTCACTACCGTTGGCCTTGGATGCTAGAAGGGTGGCTCAGCACTGCATGATACTCTGTACTTTGCAAGACAAGGGCATAAGTTTTTGAAAGTTTCTAAGTTAAACTTTGTACGGAAGCATTAGAAGGGCAGGCTGGCTCATGTTGTGGATGGCTGTGCCCCAGGAATGCAGACTTCATACTCTACAGAACCTCCCTCGTCAAACATGATTTCCCTGACTTTGATCAAGACTCACTGAAACCCTGTCTTGCTTGAATCATCTTCAAAAATGCTCTACAGCTGTTCCTTCTGCCCTCACTCCTCTCCTGCACCTATTTCTCTTGGATCAACAGAGGTTTGAAGATTTGAGTTATAACCCTTGCAGGACAAGACCGTCTGTTCTAGCAAATATCCATTTAAATCACCTACAGAATAAAGCCAAAATATTGTCTTCCATGGTGATCCATGTTATAGAACTGGATATTTGTTCATGTATAAGAATCAGTTCAATAACATAACGTGTGCAAAACAAGTGATTGAACACACAGTGAAGGGACACAGATTTATGAGCAGAAATGACAGACTACATCTAATGCCCTAGGGATTAAACACTCCAAGGGCTGAAAGATGACCGTATACAGTGGGAATTTAAGATCCAATACAGAGCAGTGGCAGCTGAATCACACCTATCACACCTAACTAGGAAATGCACTTGAGAGCAGTTTACAAGAGCACCTGTAGATGCATCATGTTACTTGCTTTTTTATACCTAAGCACAATTACTTGGTCTGCACGTGGATGTTTCTGTACATAAAAAGCATCCTCTACGAGGCTGAGATATTTAGGCCTGGCAGAACGTGCTGGCTGTTGCTTGAGCCACCACAGTGAATTTCCTGGTTTTCAAAGTCACACAAGACCTCAGGACAACATGAATTAGGTTTTTAGCCACAGCTGCTGTTATCTTTTGGTTTACCACTAATGATGTGCTTAGCATGTTATGTATTCTAATACAAGCATCATTTTGGCTTTAACTTAGTGATATAAGTGAGGTAATGGCCTGGAGAAGCAAGGCCAGTGCCTCTGCTGTCCTCCTGGAAAAGCACGGGATTTGCCCTCTAACAAATGCCTCAGACCTCACATAATTGCCCTACACACAGTACTTGGCAACAACATGATCTAGCAGGTGTTGGCACTCGCACAGCTGGAGAGCAATACTATAATCAGGGGATGATTTTAATCCTGTCATCTCAGTCTTTTCAAAGGTGAGATAACATTATTCTATCAATACTTAGGATGTGAGCCTTGTCCTTGTAAAGGAGCCCACAGCAAATGCACAGCAACTATTGCACAGACTGCAGCTGTTTGAAGTCCAGCAACACAGATCCAGTTTCCTATCACTGGCTCATAGCAATAAAAATCAAGGAAACATAAAGCTGTCAGAGCCAGAGTGAAAGCAAGAATTCATGCCTACGCAGCCATTGCAGTGCAGCAGGCAAACGGAAAGGAGCCAAATGAATCCTCTCCTTCCAGGTGTTCTGCTATCTGGGAGCAGTTTCATTTCATAGGCTCTCCTCCTCTTTTTCTGGAGTGTAGATGGCAACTAGCATTGCAGTCACTTCCATCCCAGCTCCCCATGATTCTGGCTACTTCTCTCTCATAGACACTTCTTCTGACGTGAAGACATGGTACTCCACCCTTACATGCGATAGAGATCTATCGTATGCACACCGCCTGCATGGCTGATCCCCCCCACTTACAGTCCTACCCTTTCTGCTGCTGAAGGTTCACCTTTGCACCTGAAGGCTGACCCTGAAGATGATCTTTTGTGTTCGGGAAAAATTAAACACGCAAACACATCGCCAAGGTGAGCAGTTCTGGTGCTGGCGTGATTGGTAGCGGAGTGCTCTTGTGCAGTGCACAGTGGGGTCTCCTGAACTGGTGAAATCTCAGAGGAGCAGAGAGACTCACCAGGAGCCCGCAGCTCACACCACAGCATTTGAGGAAACCGGGGGGGGGAGGGCCAGAGAAACCCGGGGGGGGGAGGGCCAGGAGCAACGGAGCCAAGACCCCACACCTATAAAGAAGCCTCTGGGGAGCACTAGTAACCAGGAGCGCCACAACCAGGGCAGGCAAACAGGCCGCAGTGCGGCAGCATGGTCTTGGGAGTCTGGAGAGGTCCCAGTCAGCTGGAAGCTGGCAAATCTTCCCCCAATTTTCAAGAATGGTAAGGAGGAAGATGCTGGTAGTTACAAGCCTGTTGGCCTCACTTCAGTGCCTGGTAAAATTATGAAGAAGGTTATTCTGGGAGTTACTGAAAAACACTTGAGAGACAACACAGTCATTGGTCATAGCCAGCATGGGTTCATTAGGAGACAATCCTGCTTAAACAACTTAATTTCCTTTTATGACAAGGTGGCCCACTTGGCTGACCAAGAGAAGTCAGGAGACATAGTTGATTTGGGAGTTTAGCAAAGCTTTTGATACTGTGTCCTCCTCCTGGACATAACATCCAGCATATGCCTAGACAAGTCCACAATACATTGGGTGAGCAATTGGCTGATGGGTCAGGCTCAATGGGTTATAGTAACTGGGGTTACATTAGGCTGGTGGCCAGTCACTGATGGGATTCCCCAGGGCTCAATTTTAGGGCCGGTGCTCTTCAATGTTTTTATAAATGATCTGGACACAGGAATCAAGTGTACATTATGTAAGCTTGCTGATGATACTAAACTAGGATGAGCTGTGGACTCCCTCAAGGGTAGAGAGGTCTTACAGAGAGATCTGGATAGATGAGAGCTGGGCAATCACCAGCTGTATGAAATTTAACAAGAGCAAGTGCCAGATTCTCCAGTTCTGCACATACTGTGGGGTCTTTCTATTTTTCCCCTCCAGTCCAGACTTGCAGACCTATTTTTCTAGCCATGACAATAATACAGATGGAGTGATGTTTTCCAACACTTTTCTGCAGAGATCAAAACACAAGAAAACAAGAACTTGCTTCAACTGCAGCACAACTCAGATTGTAAACATCGTGTTTCCCATCAGACTACTGACTCTCACCACCTGCCAAACATAAGCTGGTTTCCAAAGGCTGAATCCTGAGTCTCAAAGGCTAAATAGTGGCTGTCAGTGGGAGGACTGCAGGAAGATGGATGCAGAAATGTGTGCTTTATAGCCCCCATGTCTCTAGCCTGGCTCGATAATATTTCCTGCCATGAGCAACCCTCATTTAGATTGTAATTTCACATGATGCATTACCACTATATACAATCAATATATCATAATCATAGAAAGAACAAATGAGAAGATGTAATGGACATAAATGCCATGTTCTCGCTTGTGCGGCATTCTTCCTTTCAGACCACAATCTAATATTATTTTAAATTCCCTGAGCAATCAGGTAGCCACAGACCCCCTGGAAAACAGGTCCACAGATTCTTAATCCCATTTTCAGTATGAACCGTGACTTCTCTCTTAATACATCCATTTATCTCCTAGACTCTCCTGCCAAACTTTTTCCATTGTTCTCCACAACTTGAAATTTCATTTTGGTGATAAGGAAAACCCCCACAACCAGGTGTGATATGGAGCTACAAAGAGCTACTTCTCCTCTGCAGTCTAGGTGTGCAGCCTCATTTTGTTGTGGGGAATGGGAAGTTTGTAGCCAAAATTGCCTAGAAAACACCGTATTTTTAAATGCCCTGCTGCTTGTTTCCCATTGTTGATCACCATTGAATGGGTTTTCTAAGATAGATAACCCAGAAATTTTCACGGTTTTTCTGTATCCTCAGTTTTAACCTTCAAGTCTTACTACTCTGTCCTGCCTAATATTTGCAGCAAGAAAATACTTCAGTTTTTGTCCTTCAGGTTATTAATTAAAATATCCAATTAAAAGAAACACTGTGGCAGCCTCCTCATGACCCAAATTTAAACCTGTTGAAAAGTCAATACACTTTCCCTTTGTTTTTCACCCTTCCAGACAGTTGCTTTACTGCATTTTCCTCCACGAATTCACTGTTGCTTACACAAAGCAAAGATTATGATTTCAGTTTGATAGCATTTTACATGGGCAATACACAAAGGAAACTCAGAGAACATGAAGAGGAAAAGCAATGAACACTCAAAAGCTTTTCTGCAGAAGAAGGTATAACACAGTATAAAAGTTCCCCACAAAGATCCAGCTGTATCATATCTCTTGCATCCTATACACTCCAAAAGCAACATCTGAGCTACAGAAGACAACAGCAAGTGACTCTCACTTAATTAGTCCAATGAAGGATAAGTTCTTACCTTTTCTCCTTTTTCTCCTCTGCCATAGGCTCTGCCCTAGAAATGAAAGAAGGGGGGAAAAGGTACATTTGATACCAAGGACTTCAAGTGACACTATAAATATATATTTCATGTTTTCTTTGTTATATATGTGAGATATATCTCTTTATCCATACATATCACATCTCTCTCTATATATAGAGACATACAAGTCACAGAACAGCTACTATAGTGAAAGTAATTTTCTTTGGGCATAAATCCTTTATATTAATTCAGTGATGAATTAAAACAGAAAACCTATCCCCAATTCTCCTACTGCAGCAGGAAATCATCTTATTCTCTATTCAGGGCAGAGTCTGATATTAAATTTCCAAAATCAAAGATGCCAACAACGCTTATTAGAATGAATTTTACATAGGGTTAAAGATTTTCTCGCCTAAAAATTCAGTCTGGCATTTGCATTAATTGCAGCTGGGGAAAACTGCATCTTGGTCATCTGCATGTAAAACAGTTGAGAGAGATTTGCATCTTCTTTGCGTTCAGTTGCCTCATACTGTCCCCATTAGATTTGCAGCTGTGCTATAATCAAGTACACCCAAGTTACATATTTTAATTAGAAGGCCAATACTAAGTCAGTTATCAGCTGTATTCAGGGATGAATTAATTCATTCCCCCACTCCAAGAAATGACAGTAGGTGTCAGAAAGATCAATCAGTTATCAGCTGTATTCAGGGATGAATTCATTCATTCCCCCACTCCAAGAAATAACAGTAGGTGTCAGAAAGATCAGCTTCCCCCTGGGATTAAGGCCCAGCAGGGGGAACATATTCAACAGGGCACATTGACATTGTGAACAAGTTCTCACCATAAAGGAGCAACTACTTGCAGTTTCATATCCTTATGTAAAATCATTCTGGGATTTCTTACTTACCGACTCTCCTTTTTCTCCTCTGATTCCAGGAAGCCCTTGGCTGCCACTTTCTCCCTTGAAAAAGAAAGAGTGTTAATACCACAGAGTTAGTTCATTCCTTTCTTGACAGGCATAGAAATAACAGATGAGATTTCCTCTTACAACTTCCTGTTGAACTCATTTGGGAAATGTACCACATTAATGTTTGTATTTTGTGGTCAGCTGTCTATTGCTTTGATTTTTGAGGAAGCAATGCAACAAGTGTTGGACCAAGATTGTGGACACCTCTGGTCCCACCAGTCTCTATTGCCAAGATTTCAGCTCCTGCTGCATTTATGCTGACTTGAATGGCCAAGTTCTCAGGTTGATTTTATATTCTATTTTTCATATGAAAATACTGCTAGAAGCCTTCAGAGCGCACTGGCAAGGCAGAAAGCTTTCTCTCATGAGGTACTTCAAAAGTCCTTATTTTCTATTAAGCCAGGAAGGACTTGGAAAGGTGGTTTGCGTAAGACCTAGTGGGTGCACACCTAAAATAAGGGGGAAAATAAACATGGATTTATGAAAGGAAGATCATGCTTGACCAATCTGGTTTCCTTTTATGACAAGGTGACCTGCTTGGTAGATGAGGGAAAGGCTGTGGATGTTGTCTATCTAGACTTTAGTAAGGCCTTTGACACAATCTCCCACAGCATCCTCCCAGATAAATTAGCTGCTCGCGGCTTAGATAGGTGGACTCTTCGATGGGTAAAAAACTGGCTGGATGGCCGGACCTAGAGACTTGTGGGCAATGGACCTAAGTCCAGTTGGCTGCCGGTCACTAGCGGTGTTCCCCAGGGCTCAGTTTTGGGGCCGGTGCTGTTCAACATCTTTACAGATGATCTGGACACGGGGATTGAGAGCACCCTCAGTAAATCTGCAGATGACACCAAGTCAGGTGGGAGTGTTGATCTGCTGGAAGGTAGGAAGGCTCTGCAGAGGCAGCTGGACAGGCTGGATAGGTGGGCTGAGATCAATGGCATGAGGTCCAACAAGAACAAGTACCAGGTCCTACACTTCAGCCACAAAACCCCCATGCAGTGTTACCTGCTGGGGTAAGAGTGGTTAGACATTGGTCAAGCGGAAATAGACCTTTTCAGCCACAAAACCCCCATGCAGTGTTACGTGCTGGGGCAAGAGTGGTTAGACAGTGGTCAAGCGGAAATAGACCTGGGAATGTTGGTTGACAGCTGGCTGAACATGAGCCAGCAGTGTGCCCAGGTGGCCAAGGAGGCCAATGGCATTCTGGCTTGTATCAGGAATAGTGTGGCCAGTAGGACTAGGATGTGATCATCCCCCTGTATTCGGCACTGGTGAGGCCACACCTCAAGTACTGTGTCCAGTTCCAGGCCCTGCACTACAAGAAAGACATTGGGCTGCTGGAGCAAGTCCAGAGAAGGGCAATGAAGGTGATGAAGGGTCTAGAGTACAAGTTTTATGAGGAGCCACTGAGGGAACTGGGGTTGTTTAGCCTGGAGAAGAGGAGGTTGAGGGGAGACCTTATCACTCTCTACAGCTACCTGAAAGGAGGTTGTAGGGAAGCGGGGCTCAACCTCTTCTCCCAGGCAACTAGTGACAGAACAAGAGGGCGTAGTCCGAAACTGCGCCAAGGGAAGTTCAGTCTAGAAATTAGGAGGTATTTCTTCATAGAAAGGGTCATTAGGAATTGGAATGGGCTGCCCAGGGAGGTGGTGGAGTCACCATCTCTGGAGGTGTTTAAGAAAAGACTGGACATGGCACTAAGTGCCATGATCTAGTTGATATGGTAGTGTTAGGGCAAAGGTTGGACTTGATGATCCCAGAGCTTTCTTCCAACCAAATCAATTCTGTGATTAAAAAAAAATTCAAAACCCATTGTTTTCATTTACGTTAAATTTTCATGATTGACTAACTCTTCCCTTCCCTTGCAGAAGTATGCAACACACACAGAGTCACTCTCTGTGCTGTGGAAGAGGGGGAAGGGAGCACAGAAAAAAACGGTTGAAAACATACAAATTATGATGCGTAGAAGAATGAAAACTGGAGAAACAAATACATAAGGAGGATAAGAGAAAAATGGTCAATCAAAAACCAAGTAAAACTTTTTCTTCACTTGTCTTCTAAGAAGAACAGGGGTGAAAGGGATAAAGAATCAAAGAAGATGCATCATTTCATGAATATTCATCAGATAAGAACTAAAAGTGGTGCCAAAAACAGCAAGTGCAGAAAAAGTACCTACAAATCATTTTCACATACTGCTCTGCAGTCACAAAACTGGAAGAAGGATCAGCTAAGGATGCATCCATCACTAAGACTAGTTTAAGGTTACGTGCAGAGTTGCCGCCAGTTCCTTTAACTCCTTTAGCACCAGGAGCTGCTGGAGAGCAGAGGGCTCCGCCCACACTTCTCTACTCTACTTAGTTCCTGCTGGTTTCTCACCCAAAAAGTATATAACGGAAACCTGCTGAGTTGAGCTCTCCATCCATCACTAACAATTACAATGTCCTCACCTATTTGTATCTCCCATCCTCTTTTGCTTGTAGGGAGTTTTGGCACTTTGGACTTCAGTGTAGACATGGCATCAAGCTGAAAATGTCTCAAACCTGGAGCAGGACCTTCCAATACCACAGCAGCAATAAGTCCAATAACACAATACACACTGCAAATCTCCCTACGTGGACCACAATAGGATTTAATTTTGTGGCTCTATTCAGTTTGTCCTGATCTATGCCCCTCAAAAATATGCTTAGATGCACCAGACACTGAAACATTTGTCAGGATCATGGTTTCTTTTCCCTAAATGAAGATAGGCTTTTGAAAGTGCAGGAAATAAGAACATTTCTTTCTTTAACCTGTATCATGGCTCTATTCAGTTTGTCCTGATCTATGCCCCTCAAAAATATGCTTAGATGCACCAGACACTGAAACATTTGTCAGGATCATGGTTTCTTTTCCCTAGATGAAGACAGGCTTTTGAAAGCGCAGGAAATACGAACATTTCTTTCTTTAACCTGTATCAGTTTTTTGCCAAAAGAAAGAAACCTCACAGAGCAAGTAGCATATATGCAAAAACAATGTCACAGTCAATTCAAGTAGGCTGTAGCAAAATTCATGAAAGTTTTTATGCAACCATCTCTTTTAAGTCACTTAAAGTACACCAAAACTCCTTTCTAATTTGGCGGAAAAAATACATCCTGCTAGAGCATGTCTAATACACTGGACTTCACAAACTTCCCAAAGGCAGGTAACCGATGTCATTTCTGTGATGTGGACAAAACCAGATCTCACAGAGAAGTGATTTTCTCTGAATTCAGATCGATAGCAGTGCTGGAAGAGAGAGAGAAGCCTGTTGACCATCAGCCCAGTGCCGTAACCAGCCAGCCTGGCTGCCTGTAAACAACACAGCATGCAGAGCAAGTACAGAAGGAAAATAAATTAGACTGGGCTGTCATTAGCATCTAAAATTTAACAATAGGACCCAGCTTCAGCCATGTTAGCCAATTCTTCCAAAACCATTTCCTGCCTCACTTTTCCCCGTTACCATCTTTTACTGTATCTCCCTCCAAAACATGTACACTGTGTCTCCATGCATCACCCTCAGTTTGGCAGCATGGGTGACTGAGGCAGAAGTGTTCATCTCGGAGGGATTTTTTCACTTTTTCTAATAACTGTTAGCTCTCCTGTTTTGCCCTGCCTTTGGAGATTGAATGAGAGAGGAACAGAAATTCATTATCTTCCCACACTGGTTATACACTTATAATATTTCCATTGGTCAGATGGTACCGTAAGAAAAGCCTGTCCAAACCTCCTACCCTAAAAGAAGGGAAATGCTATGGGAGCTCAGGATAGCAAAGCCTGAACGCCAGCCTCTCCATCTTCAACTCAGATAGACAACAGCCACATTCACTTTACTTAACAGACCCTCAAACTGACCTTTTTTAAAAGAAAACAGAAAGAACCACTTTTAGTCATTAATCCTTCTTTCGATAAAGAGTGAAAAAGCCACCAGATACTACTGGTCTAGGGAAAACAAAATAAAACCAAACTCCAAAACTGTCTTAGCTTAGAGAAGGAGCTTCACAGTCCTCCCCACTTTGCTAACCTCTCCAAAGATCTTTGTTTTGGGGCAAAGGTGGGTGTTTTGGTTTTTTAACACTGACCTCTCTCCCTATTAGTATTCCCTGGTGGGACTCGTTTCTCAGGTGACTCCCACCAGCTGTGTGCTGTTTTTCTGATACAGCTGGGTTCTTATATGGCCATATGGTCTCTCACAGGGCATTTCTCATTATCAGCCTGTGAAATATTTTTGGGTGATGCTCAGGTACCTGCAGCCTACCTAAATATCCCTTGGGCCCCAGTTATTTAGGCATAGATTTCAGCTTTAAAATTCATCCCAAGTAAGAGATGCTCAGTAGTGATGATGTCTATAGAGAAAATGATGAATTTTGACTCAGAGTCCTGATGTCATTCTGTTTCCACCTGTTCCTGATGATTTCTTTCCTTATTCATTTGTTTACTCTCACCTCTCTGTTTAGTCTATTAATGCTTGATCTTTTCTTATGCTGTACTCGCTTGTTAGTCTGTTTTAATCATCCTAAGAGTATAGTAGAGATTTTATGATTACTTTTTTTTTTAATGTTTCTTGAAGCTCCAGCTCTTGGATTCAAGTAACAAATGGAAATCTCTGATACTCGTTACCTTAAAAAAGCTTTACAGTCCTCCTCATTACCAACAACAAAGCTTTAAAACACAACCCTTGCACCTTAGAAATGAGGAGGCAAGTTGAAGGATTCTAAAACATATTATGGACACTTAAAACCCCATAACACAGAAGCCACTCATATTTTTGTGGGGCCTTAGTCTTTCCTTAATAAAGTACCAAGTGGTAATATTGGGGAGTTGCAAATAGCATCGACTTTATTCCCCATGGCCAGCATTTTAGCCTGGGTAGCTCAGTAATGTTGCAGAGAGAGAGGAGAGCGATGTTAGTTCCTGTACATAGAGCAGGGACTCTGACAAGCTGGTCCTTCACAATAGCAATGCAAGAACTGCTGTCAAGGGTGGTATACATCATTTAATTGCAACATCTTTGCAAGTCAGGAGTGAAATCTATTACTTGCCTTATTTAGCAGCTAAAGAAGCTAAGTCGTTTGTCTCAAATCATCACATTTGTATCAAATTGTTGTTGGAGTCTGGATTTAAATGGCACCATCCCCAGCTCCCTGAGACTGTGATACAGTCCTGTCTCAGCTGCATAGGAGTCTTGGACCACTACAGCTGGGGGAAACCCACAGACATCTGCAGAGCTCTTCAGCAACCCACCTGCAGGAGTGGGACAGTCATTTCAGAATCTGTTACAGAAAACCTGTGGATGCCTGTATATACACCATTTTGTATTCGACTAGTACCTCCTGCACCCCAGCAACATGCCATGTTACACAGTACAGACATCCTCACCACCACATAGACCTTGTCAAAGCGGTGAAAGACAACGGGATGTTGCTGCAGGGTGCTTTTATTATTATCATCGTCGTCCTTCTGCAACCTCCTCACAACAGTCATGGCTCTGCCATTCTTCAAAACAGCCCATCAGTATTTAAGCTGTCACAGACTAAAATAGAAAGTTGCTATTTATATATGGATGGAAGCATAAGGAGACATTTTCTGCAGTTTCAGTCAGGCACATCTGAGCATTAATGTTCCCATGTTCTTTCAAGCCAGCAGAAAACACACTCCAAAACACATCTCCTCATCATCCAAAACTTCTTCCTGCAGACAGCAGACCAAGCCTTGCCAAAAAGTTCACAATGCATTATCTGAGGATGTCTGACCTTCCAAGGCCCAGAGATTTCTCCTTTCCCCTCCCACAGTGTTTAATAATAACTGAGTAACTTTTGGTGGGGTGCGATGTGTTTATTCACCAAGCAGGTATAAATGCAGTGACTGAATTTGCAGAAGTGATTCAGATGGAAATAGTTTTGAATACAAATTGTTCCCAAACATGTTTTTAATGAAATGGATGGTGAAACTGGGAACCACCAGCACTACCAATTGTAAAGGATGAGGCCCAAATGGCTGCACTTTGACAACCTCCGAGAGAGAGGGTTAGGTCATGGGGAGGGGCCTGGTGTCACTTCTCTCGTCTCTACCACTCCTGAAGCAGGGGAAATAGAAGGTTCCAGAAGTTGAGGAACCAGGGCCAATAAATAGAGGCACGTCTAAGGGGAAGTTCCCTTCTCCATCTCTCTACACCAAACACCCTTGCTGGCCTGTCTGATGCTGGACCCAGGATTGGTGTGCTCTCTCTCTCTTTCTCTCAACTGCTAAGTAACATCAAAGTTGTTAAGTAACACAAGGCTTACCGTGAGTTCCCATAAAGCCGCATATCTTAGGTAGACATAAATGTAAGAGTGTCAACATATACAAGATACTTTGTTTTGTTGAAATCTCTCATTAAATTTGATGTTTATGTACGGACCTTGAGTATCTCACCTTAGTCCACGCCAAAAGGGGATTTGCAAATCTTAATCACTCCCCTCTTCTCGTAGGTGGGATGTGACACCAACTTTCACCTTTTCAGTAATGTTGTGAATTTTTGTTTTCTTCCAGTAAAACTGCTTTCTTTAAGTCAATTGTCTCACAGCTCTATTTGTAACCAAGCACAGAAGGAAAGTGTGTATGCTGAATGCACACATATCACAGAATCACCGAATCATCAGGGTTAGACGTGACCTCTGGAGATCATCTAGTCCAACCCCCCTGCCAAAGCAGGTTCACCTACACAAAGTTGCACGGGAACACGGCCAGGTGGGTTTTGAATATCTCCAGAGAAGGAGACTCCACAACCTCTCTGGGCAGCCTGGTCCAGTGCTCTGTCACCCTCAAAGCGCAGAATTTTTTCCTCATGTTCAGACAGAACTTCCTGTGTTTCAGTTTGTGCCCGTTGCCCCTTAACCTGTCACTGGGCACCACTGAGAGTCTGACCCCATCCTCTTGACACCCACCCTTAAGGTATTTATAAGTATTGATGTGATCCCCTCTCAATCTTCTCTTCTTCAAGCTGAACAGACTCAGTTCCCTCAGCCTTTCCTCATAAGGGAGATGCTCTGTCCCTCTACTGGACTCTGTCCAGTAGTTCCTTGTCTTTCTTGAACTGGGGAGCCCAGAACTGGACACAGCACTCCAGTTGTGGCCTCACCAGGGCAGAGTAGAGGGGGAGGACAACCTCCCTCGACCTTCTACTCACACTCTTCCTAATGCACCCCAAGATA